CCCTGCCGTGACCGTGAGTAGTTTACCGATGGCAGGTTCAGAGTTAAGAGATCTTCCGGTGCATGCAATGAGGGGTCTCAGCTCTGAACCATGATCGACATTATTCAGTTTTCTACCTGAACACACCTTCTGCTGTATCCGTCAGTTACACTTTGCTGTGCTTCCTCTGCTTCTCTTTGCCTTAGACGCTGGTGCCCACCGCCTTGGTCACGCTGCTAGACGCATCTAGATCTAGGAGTATGGCATTGCCGCCCTCTAGACGTGCGTCGGGGAACCGCTGAAGCATAACCGAGTGATCTTCCCAAGTGGCCATGGAGATGAACGGGAGGGGGAGCGTCTTCCTTGCGCGGCCAGATCGACCGTGTCGCCCGCTACTCCGGGGACGTACGGAATCCACCGGTCCCATCTCCCCGGCCTAGGTCGCATCGCAGCAGTGGGGAAGAGGCAGATGAACGGGAGGGAGAGCAGAGGTACCGTGGGTTCGCCGTCTAAGACCGCCGTCGCACTCCCTAGCGGTGCCTGCCTTCGAAAGTCACCGTCTCCGTCGCAGTCGCCGCCGCCGAGCGAGTTATCGCCAGCGGGAGTTGGGTCGCGGAGTCGCTCGCCTCGACCAGGTCAAAGGAGCCACGTGGAATTTCTGTCTAACTGCTGTTACTGCAGACTGTTGTGAAATCTGAATTTCTCATGGCATATGTTGACATGCATGCCTAAGATAATCCAAACAAGCGGCGACACGCGCGCTAGGCAGCCATGTTTTTTTTTTTTGAGTACAATAGGCAGCCATGGTTGACCTTCCTATTGGGTGGGCAAGCAGCAATAAGCACAACAACTTTTGGCGGTTCAAACAAAGGACCGAGTGACTTCATCTTATACCAACCACTGCATTGGAAAATACCAGGATTTCTATTGCCATCCAACAAGTCACCATCATATCATAGTTTAAAAAACCGAACCGGAAATCGAACCACAAAGTTTGTCGGTTCAGGTTTCAAGAGAACCGAGTTGCTATTTGCAGTAGGATGACTGAGATTGAAAAACAAGAAGAAGACACATGATATTGCTAGCTGCAGCAGGACCAGCGAGATTGAAGAAGTTGTGGAGTAGCTCAATGATGAAGCTTTGCTATTTGAGCCGTGCTTCCGTAGCCGTGCAGTGTCGCCTAAATTTGTATAATTGCTTCGACCAATCGCATGTTGTGTTTCTTTCTGCTGTTTCCAAACTTCTATTTTCCCAAACATTTGGTAGACGAGAGGCTTAGCAGTTATTCTTTTCCATTTGGATGGACTCAATAATTTCTCATTTACCAAAACCTGATTGTATTTGTCAATACATTTGTCTCCTGTGCCTATATCCTGGAATGTGTGTGCAGCCTATGCACCTTATGAGTTATGGCAACTTGGGCAAGTGTTGCACTGGACGACTCTGTGATAACAGATTAGCAGTAATGTGTGTGCCAAGGATCAAGGATTCAGAGGTCATCTTGCTAACGGGGAGTGATGAAGCTAAATGTTGATCATGTGATTTGCCGGGATGCACCAATGGCAGGTTGCTGTTCATAGCTGCGAGCCTTATGGTGCTCGACGGAGTGTTCAAGACTCGAGAGATCCTCCTGCACTAGAATGGGATGCCCTGCAACGAGGTTCCAGCGAGCCTTATGTCTGAACTCTGAACCTGGCTCGACATCCTTCAGTTTTCAGGTTGCTGCAGCCTGAGTCTGCATCAATGCTAGCGTCGGGCCGTTCCGCTGTGCCTGCCTTCGAAGTCATCGTCTCCCTCACCGTCGCCGCCGCCGCCGACTGAGCTTCAGCGGAGTTGGTCGGGGGAGTCGCTCGCCTCGGCCAAGGAGCCACGTGGGCCCATGCTGTCAGAGGGAAAAGTAGTTACTATCGAGTTCAGATGTACTACCTATTGGTCCAGCTTTACAACCCTCTTCCCCCGAAAAAAAAGGGGCAGTACTACATGTCCAAGGTAAGTGCTATCAATTTCTTGTACACCTTCTGTCTAAGTGTTGTTCAACTGCACACTGTTGTCAAATCTTAATATCTGATTGTTGGAACTCGGCCACAGGATCGATCACATCAAATCATAAACACACGCACAAAAAACTTTTGGCCAAAGGCACGTGTCGTGCCTTTCTTTTCTTTTCCTCTTTTTATTTTCTCCTTTTTTCTCACGGTACAAAGTTGCAGGCCCTGTGTATCTATATATACACGTCGGCCAGCCCCAAAGCTAACAATAACCGACTTTGACTCAGCCTAAACTATTAGACTCCTACTAGTACACGAAGTTGACTCCAATACGTACTACTAATCTACTAAACTACACGGCAGCCTAGTACACCGTATAGTACTATGACACTTCACGTGCATGCACAACATGCACACGTACCTTAATTAACTAGCACTCATCAATCTAGTCAGAGATTACTGCCAACACTGATGTCATATGTTTGATATGCGTACCTATGATAATCCAATCAAGCGGCGACACGCGCTAGGCAGCCATGGTCGACCTTTCTATTGGGCAAGCAATAATAAGCACAAGGACTTTTGGCGGTTCAAACAAAGGATGAGCGACTTCATCTGATACCAACTAGTAAACTGGGAAATATCAAGATTTATGTTGCCATACAGGTCATCATCAGACTACTAACCTCTTTTTTAGATTGATGACTGCTAAATTTGTCGAAAGTCAAATTTGGTAGCCATGGCCAAGTCTCAAACATCTCGAGGTCATGCTAATCTTTTTGGGGATATTTTCTCTCTCCAGGTTTGAAGATGAAGCCGATGGCGTAGAAGGCATTACTTGGCTCATCAATCCTCCTGGTAACATGTTCATTTTACCATGGATGGGAGATTTTTTTTTTAGGTTCACCTTAATAATTTTGTTTCTGCTACAATGTCCAAACCCCATTTTGGCTCTCAATATATGTATCCTAGTTCCTCCACCCAGCCAAAGCTATAAACATATAACTCATATGATATTTTGTCCAAGTCGTGATGTTGTGTTTGTGGTGCAATGTTGTCCATTATTCTTGTGCTATTGGTATTTACGATGAGAAGTGACTCTTCCATATGTGCAGCACCTTGGCATATTCTTGTGCTACCGGTACTAATCGTGGATGTTCTTTCGGGTCAGCACTTCTGAATGCGAGTGTGTTGAAGAGGTAAGAGGATTCCTCATAAGACAGATAGTTGAGAAAAATTGGCTTCACTAATACAAATCCGGTTGGCCTTTGAAGTTTAATTATGATAATCACCTTAGTACCTCTAGCCAACCTTTTGACAATTGAGTGGAATGTTCTCGAGTCGTTGTCACCTACGTTGGTAGAAAACTCAACAACTATCAACATTTCCCATAAAATGGTACTTTCATTCTCAAGAATTTTCGAAAGGCTTTCTCAGCTCAAGTGCAAAACTGAATAGACGTGCGATCGCACCCTCTCATCGTTCCACACCTGAGCAACCAACGTTTTATTCCCGACTATGCGACCACCTATGATCAAAAGAATAGTTGGTTCATCACCAGGTGGGTTATGTTGCAACAAAAAAGTTCAAGAGTGTTTTCTTTTCAGCATGGCGTACAAGCATGTTGTTTTCATATTAAAGTCATGAATCATACGGTCTATGCACCATGCGGTCCGTCCAACCTAAAGCACAACAAAATTCATCATGTTATCCACAACAATATGCATGCTTCCCAAGCTACCACCTAACTCAAGGTTGACTACTTTGTCCTTTCTTGTCCATGCAATTGTGTGAATAAGTTCTTCTAATTTTTAAAAATATTCCAGACATTTATGAAAATATATGTTTAAATTTAAAATAAATTCAAAGATGTGTATGAGAAAAGTCATGCGTTGGAAGAAGTGATTGCCAAATTATAGAAGTGTTCGCATAATTTAAAAGTGTTCGTGTATTTCATAAAAATGCTCTTATAACTTGAAATGGTGCTGACATATTTCCAAAAAGATTTCTGTATATGGAAAAACAACTGGACGCGGTGTTTTCGCTCTTGGGTGCATCTGCACATGAGGATGAGCAGTAAATCATTTAAAATACTAAAAAAATCAGAAAAAACTGATTTTTGTGTGATGCTAGATCGTCATGTGCGTGAAGTCTGTGCCCTCATGGAGTTTCAACATTTCAGTAGCCCTAAGCAAAAAAGGCAATTTTTGGGGTTGTAAGAAAGCTTACTGTTCATGTAATGTTTTGGCTGATTTTTTTATTTTTGCCATGAGCTCCTCGGATGTCCGAACAGGCGGAAATTTGGTAGTAACATCACGCACTAGAACATCTTCCACCTGATTTGTGTTAGAAGTTTCTGAAATTTTTAGTATATTTTTTAAATTTACTATTCACCAGGTGCAGATGAGCCGGAGCACCGAATTGCATATCCGTAAACAACCGCAAATTTTATGACGTGTTATCATGTCTTGCAATGATTGCTTAAGATTCTCCATTGCCAGCCGTATAATTTTTCATTATATTTTTGTTCTTTTTAATCATGAACTGCGCGCAAAGGCTGCATGGCACAATATTTTGATGACTTCCTAAGCTAGTGACCGAACTCCTCGTTTTTTATAATTTCCTAGCAACACACGGACATTGTGCTAGTTTATTGAAACAATCCACTATTGATCCCCAACACCAACTCAGTTGGGAGCATCATAGATTCTTTCTAGCATGAAGAAAAGACATTGTCTCCAAATAATGGATAAAACCACCCGCGCAAGCTGGATTGTAGAAATTAACTCATCACAATCAAGCTTTTCTTTGCATAAATATCGAGCTTCACAATCTAAACTTTGCCTGGTTGTGATAGTAGAGAAAAGTTTGAATCCAAAGTGTACAATGGTTGCCATAATCACAATGTATTAAAGAACACACAAGAAATGTTTACAATACAAATACACACAACATACTAGTATTATACATAGTTTCATATGCAATTTTTATTTATTAATTAATTGGGTATATGTGCACCAATCCAATCTTTTGTCACTCGGTCTTGCTATTATGGATTGATGTTTTCAACATCTTGAGGGCTGCCGCATTCTTAATGATCCTAATGGACTCGGAAAAATCATCCAAAAGTCGATGACAATCTGGAAAATGTGCTTCATCAACTGCCATAACTACCTTGATATCACTACCATAATTATAGTAGTGCACGGTTAAAGCCTACATGAGAAAATTAAGATAATTAGATGCAAAATGGAGTAAAATTTATAAATGCAAAAGGCTAGTTTTTCTCAGCCACCTAAGAATGCATATGTTTTGGGTGTAGGAACATGGACGACTTACTTGTGGTTGGCCATAGATGCTAGGTGCCATGAAGGCAACTGGGTGCCCACATAACGTCATATGTTCAACGGGTCCAAGAGCATTTGAAAGTATGATGGTTGTATGTTTGAGAAAGCGGCGGAAGATAAAAGCTCCTGCCTGCTTTCATTAAAAAGTCGTTGCAATTAAACAGAAACCTTAATACATAGACATAATGTTCGTTCCAAGTTTCTGAATGTTTAACTGGGAAGAACATATACAAGTAGCACAAAATATACCTTGGCACCAAAGTTTTTCACCAAAAACTCTCCGACCACTTGTGTGAACAGTACTTCTAAAGAGCTCTTTTTCCTATGCATAAACCTTCTTGCCTCGCGAACATACCCAAGGGGATCATCTTGCAAGGCTATATTAAACGGACAGATGAGGCTACTGAGTTGATTGCCTGTCTTTACCCTGGTAACATATGTCTGTTCATAGTTGTAAGAAGGAAGTTAATGCCATTTATAATATTAATTATACAAAACTGTGATGAAGGGCATACTACTATGTTTATGTGGCACATAATTAGTTTTAGTTACGTATCTAGTATGAGAAAATTCTAAGTTCTTACTTGTCGGGTGGAGACTGGCCTTGTGTCAACTAGGACGAATGATCGCAAACAGATTCTCTTAGGGTTACTGTCACCTAGTATTGAATATAACAAAGCAAAGTGTAAAAATTGCATGGCTATGGAATAAACATCTGTCGTTATCAAGATCACTTACCAGACTTCCTAAAGTAGTATCGTGAAAGAGCTGCTGAAGTCACACCGGCTAGCACGTCGTTAATAGTCTGTGAAAAAAAAAGGATATGAGTCAAATCAAGAGGCACCATTCAGCAAGTGAGACACATTTTTAATGGGTTAATTTGATAAATGCCACTCAAATTCTGGTGATTCTGAGAAATGCCACTGCATTTTCCAAACTTCGAAAAATGCCATTTCCAGTGACATTTTTCAAAGTTTGTAGTGGCGTTTTTCAAAGAATGCAAAATTTGCAGTGGCATTTTTTAAAATTTGCAAATTGTAGTGGCCTTTTTTGGAATCGCCAGAATTCGAGTGGCATTTATCCAATTAACCCTTTTTAAATCGGGCTTTACTAGACGGCCATGGCAATCTAATAACAAGTCATGAACCCCATGCTTTGTGTGGGTAACTTACTTTTGGAAAAAAAGATTGCAATTACAATATTTTTAAGTTTCTTTCATATGCTGTTTGGAGGCTTTAAAATATATAACTAATTTTTGTTCTATTTACGCTACTACAATGTCCATTAATAATTTTCTACTTACAATTTTCGTCAAAAGGTTGTCAATAAAACTGACAAGCTACCATGTAGACTTTTTGCAGGTGATTTATAGTTTTTATAATTTTAGACCAGTAGGATCACCCCTGCCACGTGATTTATATAATATATGTGAACACTACTTATAAATATTAAATGACTTTACACAAACACAATTCATGACAGCATTGCACACATATTCAATATTTTTTATTTTGGTTTGTAAATCCTATATTTCAAATTTAATTGGGTCATAATTGGACTGTTCTACTAATATTTTGTTTTACCTATCATATGTTGTAATAATCATTTTTATATGTTAGTTTCACCTTCGGTCAATAGGTTTTTTCATATATCTGCAAATATATCAAACATGTAGATCTTGTGCAGGTGATTTGAATTAGTACGTAAATTCATGATAAAGGTTGAGTAGCTTTACGTACGCAGTTCATGGCAGTCTTGATGAGTTTGACATCGTCAAAGCTAAGGCTCCGATGCACGAAACGCTTGCGGTGAAGAGACTCCTTACTGTCTGGCGCACGCATGAACAATGTCTGTGGATCACTCAAGAACATTACCGTCGCGATAATCAACGCCATGTCCACCAGTGTGTGCCACGCCAGTACAAAATACGACCAAACCCATGCGAGGAGTGCTAGGTAATCGCCTGAAGACAGCGGAGGCCGTGGTGGCACCTGGTAGATTGGACCTGTTCGCTTGGGTGCTGGCGGCATCGCTGGCACCCTCGCCGGGTCAGCTGCACTGAGCGACGACGCTACAAGGAGCGTAGTAATGCACATGCCGTCACCAATGGAGTGGTGCAGGCGGAGCACCACCGTGGAGGCCGCCTCAGAGGTTGGAAAGTTGAGGAAGTGGAACTCCCAGAGCGGGCGGCGTCTATCCATCGAGAGTAGGGACAGCGACGCCACGTAGTCCTCCACTGCCTTTTCTGGGTCGGATGCCACGGCAGCAGGATCCAGCGTTGGGACGACGATGTGGTCGTCCACATTCACTGTCGTTTGCACCCATCGCGGCTTGCCATCATTGGTGGACTCGTCCATTACCTGTACATGTAGAATTTGATGCTCCGAGATAAGAATGAGGTGCATGAATTACAACTATACTTTGGGCTAATGCCATGGATACCAATGGTAAACAAATAAAGTTTTAGCAATTATGCAAACAAGTGAAGTGTTGGAACTTACTAGAATACTGCGTAAGCGTGGCAAACGGGCAATTAGTTCTGTTTCAATGCCGGCACGGAAGACGGGCAGGTTCACGGGCGTGCCGAGCCCCATCACAAAGACGATGCAGATACCCATCTCTTCCATGCCTCTTCCAGTAGGGCTCATTGGTTCTTCGGCCATGGAATTGTCAGCACATTCTGTCTCCGCCGACACGCGGACAGAGAGCGGACGGCTTGACGGAGTGGCTAGGTCCGCTGTTGCTTCCATGAGTGGCCTCTCGATTGTAAATTGCAATGGTTCTCTGCTCTATGGGTGCAATATATATACGGCTTGACGGAGTATTGTGTGGGAGCCAAGGTCCATGTGAAATTGCATCGTGTTTATTGAGACTAGAGTTTAGAGCATCTACAGCTGGACATGGCAAATCCGGTCCATCAAACGCCCGCGGACGCGCCCGGATGCGTCCGCGGACACTGATCTCAAATCGTGATGTCCATATCCGTGTCTCTCATATCCGAACCCCTATATCCATACTATATTATGCAACGTCGATCAAACTACGTAGATCAGCTGACCGGACATAGAAATAGCACAACAGTTTACTAAAAGATCCACCAAAGTTCACATAAACGACGAACAATTTTATACTAGTACATCTAAAACTTGAAATTAAAATCAGCTTCACCACTTCCGGGCCGAGCATTTCCCCTTCTGGTCGCCGGCATAGTTGTAGCCGTCATCGGCTGGTGGAGGATCGTCCGATTCGTCAGAGGAGGAGCCATGGTCGTCGGAGAAGGAGTCGACGATGACGAGGCCCTTGAGGCGCTGGACGGCTTGGTCCTGTTGGCGCCTTAGTTTGGCCAGCCGATCCGCCTCTGTCGCCTTCTCCACGTCTCCCGCTCGGACTGCTCGATGGCAAGCTGGAGAGCCTTCGCGTTCTTCCGGCAGAGCCGCCGAGCGTCCAGTTCCGTCGTCGTAAGCGACCATCAATAGATCCACGCGAGGAGCCGCTCGTCCTCGTCGGGCACCATTGGTAACCCATGCCGGCGGCGGACGGAGCTCTCCACAGCCTCCCACTCCCTTGCCCGCTGCTTCTCGCGGCGGGTGGCACGCGCCTCCGACTCCGGTGTGCGCATCTGGGCTGGCGGGGCAGGCACAAGCACCCACAGCTGCCCACGAGGGGGAGCAGCAGCCGGCGGGGCAAGGGGAGGCGCAGATTGCGCTGGCCGTCTGTCGGAGCTGCCCATGGGCCGGGAAGCGCCGACGGGGAAGCTGCAGCTGCGGCGAGGCTGGAGATCCGAAGCTGCCCCCGGTCTCCACCTTGGACCGCTCCAAGGCGATGCGGAGGGCAAGCTCATACTTCGGATCCACCTCATCGGAGCGGCTTCCGGAGCTCGACATTGCGCCAGATTTGATCAGAACCGATGAGGGGAGAGGAGAGGACGGAGCGAGAGAGGAGAGCGAGTGAGCTAGGGTTTTGGAGCAATAAGCAGGTTTTTTGTGGGACATCCGTGGGATCGGTGATGGGATGGGCTTGTCAGGCGGACTCGCCCGGGCGTGTCCGGGCCACCCCATATCCAGCCCATATGAGGATGCCGGTCAGTCCATGCGTTTGAGGTCTGTTTTAGGCGTTCGTCTGAGTCAAAAAAATGTGACCGAACATTGACCGGGCAGCCCGCCCAGACGTTTGAGACGGGTTTGAGAGGTTCGGCTGCAGATGCTCTTAGTGCCCACTGGCACTGGGTGGATCCAGATCGTGGGGTCTGTGTTTGGCATCGCATTAAGTAAGACGAAATACGTACGTTAACTCTCTGACTCGTGCTGTACTACTACTAAATGTGAGACATAGAAGTTGTTGAGTAGAGGAGTAGGTGTGCCGCAAAGGAGGGTAAATAGCTGAAAGAGAGCATCCATGGCGTTGGCATTTATTTAGCATGCATAGCCAAGGCAAATACAAAATGTCATAAGGATATGTGCCTTTCCCACATGCATATTTTACCCTTCAATTGTAGTACTCCCTCCGTTTCAAAATACTCAATGAGGTTTTATGTTAAGGAGTGCTACACGGACGACAATATTTAGACGATTTGGAGGCGAAGATTAAATCCAGTGGAGGAATCTTGTCCACGGCCGAGCAATGGCCGCTGCATTGTCTAGTCATGCACAGATTGTCCAGGGTCTGTCTTGAGTGGAGGAACAGGAAGCTGGAAGTGGAGGGAGTATTCTGAGATTCATTCCAGATTTATGTACCATGGTGGAACCCAAGCTATCTTCAAGGCCCAACTGTCTTCAACCAGCCATCGTATTTCCCTCGGTCCAGATGCATAGCATGGGACGCCATAAAACGCCATCAACCAGGGAAGTGGACTAAGAGCACTCGCCAACGTAGCACTCTGGAATCACCGCCGCTCACCTACTAGCTCGGGATCAGCGCCACCTTTTACGAAATGTTTTGTTCATGTGAATACAAATCCAACACGTAGAAACAACCAGTTCATACCTGTGTTTATAATGACGGATGGAAAGCGTGTGAGGATTGATTTGTGTAAGGTGGTAATAAATGGCTGTGCACTCATTCAATATGTCTGCAATTTTGTCGACAAAAGACTTGGTGGAAGTCTTCTGGTTTGTGGGATTTGACGTGGTAAAAGGTGTGATGATGTAAAATAGTGTACAAGAGAGGGTTGGAAGTTGACGTGGCTGCAGTAAAAATGCCCAGTGTACGTGGTAGGATTTGTACGACCATTTGCATGGAAGGGTCATATGAAAAAAACGATGAATAGCATGATTAAGATTAGCAATAATAGAGATTACATAGTATTTGGTGGCCATTGTCTGGCAGTTGACGGCAGATGACATTAATGCCCTAGATTAAATACAAATCAATCTAGATTTAACCTTGCGACAGGGTAAAATTATTTTGGATTACTGATGTGGTAACATGGCCTGGGTGTGCCGACTAGATCTCGCAAGTGCAGTTTCCTTGAAGACGATGATTTAAAGTGAGCTCGACGCGGACATATAGTACAACAAGGAGATTCAGTGCCAGCAGAACGACGATGACGCGGTGGAACTTCCTGTCTTTGGTAACATGAAATAGGTGGAAGAGGCCGGTGCATGCATTACATGAACAACCCTGCTATACGTACGATGAATTCTCATCTCACACATACGATTAGAGACAGCCCAAGACAATTCAGTTTGTGGGCCACAACATGCATCAAGTTTTACTGTTTGGTCGTACAGGTGTCCAATGAAAAAGTATCGTATGCAGAGCAATTCCGTTACATGAAATAGGTGGTTGGGCGTTGGTAGTTGACTTCAATCTCTGTGGTAAGGACAGACACTTTGCTCTTCTGAGATAGAACCGCGTGGACCTCACTTTTGATATACGGAACAGTGGAAAGCTCATATGATCTGAAAAAGTAATGGATACGTTGGGGCTACTTTAGTGTGTGCGGACCCCAAGACAGATGTGTGATCAGGATTCCGACAAGCGTCGGCGCCGAGTACTCCTATACAATATATTTCGCATCAACCAGCCATTTCCTAATTACTCCCGTGCATGTGGAGCAAAATTGTGCCAACTACTCTATGCATGTGCGAGTCTAGACCAGTACATAAGAAGCGGGCTCCTGAATTGTGAATATATGTGTTGTGCATATTGTATATTGGGCCCATCTCCTAATTTTTCTTGTATAGTTGAGGTCGTGATCCACCGTTGTACATCATATATACGTGTGGTTGCATCCTGCAATTCCAACAACATACATGGTACAAAAGCCAAGATGTCTTGAGTTTAAGACCCGGCTGGCATAATTAAATTGCAGCCCACTTTCAGTCCATGTTTAGGTCTGAGGGAGCCACGCGTGAGGGAGGGGGGGTATAGACGTATAATGTGTTGGCTAGTCTCTTCCATAAGATCGGTCTTTTGGTTGCATTGGCTAGAGCATGCGCTTATACAATGAGGCCAAAAAGCTGTCCTACCACATGGAGCTTGTCGTCGACAAGATCTGTCTCCCCCC